AAAATTTTGCTGATCGCAAGCGCGAGTTTGTGGAGCGCCTGCCCCGCCGATTATCTGAGTGGTTATGGAGGTTGGTTCTCATACTGTAATACCTGCGCATAATGGTTGCCAGAGTACTGTCATACGAGATCAGATTTTCATTATTTTGTGCGACCCCCTGGCCATTCCTCTTTCTATAAACTAATGAAAACGTTGTAAAATTGTGCTGATGATATAATATGGCATTGCTAAATATGTTTATAGTAGAGCATTATCGCAAAATTCACAACATTCAGATTCCACTTCTTCTGTCAAAAACATGCTCAGCAAGCCGTAGTATATCCTCAGCACAATTTTACAGCGTTTTAATCGACTCTTCAGAAACAAAAGAAAATTGGAGGTGATCCCGTAGGGATCTCGCGGATCACCTAAAATAGTGAAAATGTGATCCTGTACGGCGGTAACCTGGCATCCATTATGTGCAGCTCTCAGGGTATGAGTACCTTCATAAGCCAGATAGAGAAAGAAGAAGAAAGATATCTAGAGTAGCGAGATATGACGCATCTCCTGCTCAGCGTAGATATAGGTGCATATGGACCTTAGTCGTTGTGAACAAACTGATCGTTTTTATTTTTGTGCATAAATATAGTGTTCTAACACGATGGAATCGTGTGCACACGAAATGCACTAATCGCGTTTGTAATGTGTTAATTTACCTGCGACAGGTGAAATTGCGTCATTCCTTCAAATTCGGGCTTGAGAAAGGAGTGTGCTTGCAGATTTTAATCAGGTCCGGGAATATCCCTGGAAACTTCACGATCTCTTTGCTTACCCTTTAAAAAACGACATCTAGCACCATCTGCTGAGCCCTGCTTCCCATTATGAAGCTGTACGCCCATGTTATTATAGCGAACCATTGCTCAATGAGGATTTCTTGATGATCTAGCCCTTTTGGTCTATCCTTCTGTGCTGAATGAACAATTTCGCTATGAAACGAGGCTTAATCAAGTTTTGAAACTATTCCACTGGCTGGATCAAAAAGTGTATCCTGCAAGGTGTTTTTTTAAAAGATACTTTTATTTAAGACTGTTGTACTATGCTGAGAAAGTGAGGATGGAGGGCTATATGTCACCAAAAGGGGTGGACAATATTACTTCTCCAGCCATCGCCGGCTTCCTCGTCGTAACTCTGGCATCGATGCGATTGATTGAATTCTTTGCCTAGTCACGCATTCGAAGCCATTTTCTCTAAAATGCCGTCAGCTGAAAATCCCGAGCTTTATAGTTTGAACTTGATTCAGTGTCGCAGTAGGAAATAACGAATCATGGAAGTGACAAGGAACGCTGACGCTATGCAGTGATTAAAAAGATGGTGTCCTGAAAGCTCAGAGATGTCTCTCTTGAACAAGGGTCGAATCCGGCTGTCTTATCACTTTCGCAAGTCTAGCCTTCTAGCTCAGAAGTAAAAGTTGTTCTATTCTATTTTGAACATGGTAACTAATTTGTCAAAGCGTTGCTGCATCTCAGTTTATTTGCATACGTGCGGCGCCACCATCTCTTTTTATAATTTTTCTTTCACTTGCTAAAACCAACTTGTTCCCGCACCTCCCATCATTCTCTCGGGAGAGTGCTGACTATAACGACGAGATGTTCCAGCTTTGCACGTGTTAGATGCTACTCATTCTACTTCGTCGAGAGACTCTTATACCGCTCTCACTCGAAAAGTGGCATTTGGAAATTATTGTTTCTAGCACTTAAGTGCTTGAAAAACTATAGCTCATTAAAGATGCAGCCTCTTCTCAATGAAGCATAAGCTCTTTGTTACTGAGAGTGAAATGAACTCAAATAGTTCCGGTATATTGCTATCCTTTTGATATTCCACAGCTGGCAGCCACACATCTAATAATTTGCGCGTAAGATAGCGACTCACATGCTCTAATTAATTATTTGCTCTTGACACAAATCGCTAAACGTTTCTGTCAATGCGCGCAACTCCGTAGCGATGAAGAAAGGAGCCAAAGAATGCCAGAAAGTGATCTTATTGGTGCTGTTCCTAAAGTCTTTCTAGTTTGAATGAATAGGAGCAAATGGTGAACGAACTTAAGTACACTAACAAACTTCCAACCTTTCTTCTTTCAAAATTCATCAAGAACCTGAACCTAGAACCCAAACCTAAAACCTAAAAACATGGCGCAGATGGAAAAAAATGAGTCCTTTTTCAAATTATTTTGGATCCATGCTAGATGCATTCTAGACACAATAGATTATCTACACTCATAATTGTTACATTAATTATTATTAATTACACCATGATGTTTCGGATTTGTTGTAAGCATAAACCTACGCTGTAATTCCCTAAAGGCAAAAATTATAAGTCTCTTCTCTTCTACTCCCTGGTTTCACGGCGTGATAAAGCCACGACCTACAACATCTTAATTTCTGGTCAGCTTTTGATTGCATTCAATAATGACAAAATGTGAAAACATGGATTAGGATTCGAAACTTCCATCTGAGGCGAGATGATGGCATCAAATATGCGACTTGTGTAACAAGCAAACAATTCAAATGACGGCTGAGTTACGGTGAAAACAATCGGTCAATGGCTAAAGACAAGACAGACATTCGTGGTTAGCTCGCGCAATACATCCACCCACAAAACTATAGGCTACAAAGAAATGAGTACTGCTGCAGCAAACCCGCTTTTGTTGCGACTTTCGGGCTAATTGCAATACTAGACTAGAGTACGACCAGACGCTCGACGTATGCCCGGAATTGCGCAGAAAGAGTCCGAGCGCCTGCTGAAAGTTCGGCCAGCGTTTGCTGAAAGAGATTATTTGACGAGCGCCAGCAGAAAATTCTGCGTTGCTGCCCGCTGGCAGAACATTAGACAGTAAAGGAAGTACCGCTCGCTGGAGGTTTGGCCACGCCCCAAAATTCTGCTGACCGCTTGCAGAAAAGCGCGAGTTTGCGGACCGCCTGCCCCCGGCGATTATCCGAGAAGTAGAAGAACTTTGTCTTCAGTCTAGTAAACTTTTTAAAAAAAGATGTAATATCTTCTTTTGAGTCACTGCATCAAATGGATCCATAGCAGCTGCTATTAACGAATTGAGTTGCAAGTGCTATGATTTCTGCGATGCTTTTGCCAAGAAAGTGTCAGAGGATGCCCTGCATTAGTATATCCACAGTTGCTTGCTGCAAGCACTACCGACACTGGATCTGCTTTTGCTAATCCAGAAGGCTTCCCGTAGCTATCGCCAATGGAAGGCTGTATATCAGCGGAATATTTTGAAGGCGACTTCATCAAAAGTGGTGCTCATCTGAACAGCTTGGGCGTTTACTAAACACATGTTGTGGGTGGATAGTCCGTTTCAGCAAGCTTCCATGACAAAAAAACACGGTCATTCAGCCTTTGTACAAAATCAACACATTGCAGGGTTGAACCTCTAAACTTTTTTGCCATCTACAGTCTAGTCATTCGTAACTTAATATGCATAGTGCACACTAAGCACGCTAACTGACGAACAGCAAAACAGAACCTGCTTAATTCCAATGATTTTTGCTTGTCTTCTTGTCTCTTGTACTTTGTTGATTACATTTTAGTCAGTAGAACACATTTCTACATTTTTTAGGCAAAAAAATGTTTCACTGGAAAGTTACCAGTAAGGGTGCCATTGCTGATAGGACTTAGTGTGTAGTCTCACATATTAAGCTACAAATGAATCGAAATTAAATGCTTCCACTCAGATTTAATTTATTAATGGTGGTCTCGCCACGATATATTTTCTGGCAAAAATTTTAGAACACATTATCACTTTTATTGAGTTGTCTCATAAGTTTTCTCAATTTTGTCTTTTTGCCGCAATAAATTACCCAACTCTCAATTTTGTTCAGAATACAGGGTACCATTCGTTAGAGCAAAGCAAGCTCTATGAGTTGGCATGTGATTGTTCGCTTAGCTCCAACACATCACGGGCTAAAATCCGAATCTTAGAACTTTCGGTATCCGAAAACTTGGAAATTTTTTGCATTTCTGTCCAAAGGAAACTTACCAGATTCCAAACATGATCTAACGCATACACACACCTCATAAGACATTTATATGTGCAGCTGCTGTGTTTGTTCTGTGCTAGAAACAGATAAAACTAAAAATTTTGAGTTTTCAAAAAAGCGATGCTGCGTTGTTCTCAAGTACTCTGCGTTGATACCACTGCTTGCTTTCAGAGATACATCGGTAAATTTTCAGCTTTTTAGAAGCGCTAGTTCTTTTAGTAGGCTTGTGGTATACACTTACGTATGTGAGAAAAGCGCAGCATCGGTTTTTTAGATTCTTTGAAATTTTGATTTTCTCGGTTTCTAGCACAGAAAGAAACATACGGCATATACATGTTTTATGTGGAGTGTAAATGTGCGAGCAAATTTGGGGTCTGGTAAATTATCTTTGGAGAGAAATATGAGAATTTTTAAAAATTTCGGGCATCCGAAAGTTCTCAGACTTCGGCTTCTAGCTTGTGGCTGAGTACTCTGCGTTGATACCACTGCTT